CTAACGAAATTATAAGGTGGTCTGTACGTTATACAGCCCACCTGATAATATTTTCCTCCAAAATGCTGAACCAAACCGGCCCTTACCATTTCGGCCCGAAAGTTGAGATAACTCAAATTTTTCAATATTTGCCACTACGCCCCTTTCAAAGGGATGTGGGGGTCAGGATCCATCTAATGGCATGTATATACATTCATTGTGGGGAAACTTGCCTATTCAAAAAATATAATTTTTTCCTCCAAAATGCTGAACCAACCTGGCCCTTACAATTTCGGCCCGAAAGTTGTGATAAATCAAATTTTTACAATATTTGCCCCTAGCTCCTTTCAAAGGGATATATAGGGTTCAGGATCCATCTAATCGGATGTATGTACATTCATTATGGGGAAACTTGCCTATTCAAAAAATATAATTTTTTCCTCCAAAATGCTGAACCAACCTGGCCCTTACAATTTCGGCCCGAAAGTTGTGATAAATCAAATTTTTACAATATTTGCCCCTAGCTCCTTTCAAAGGGATATAGGGTTCAGGATCCATCTAATCGGATGTATGTACATTCATTATGGGGAAACTAGCCAATTAAAAAACTAGATGGAATTTTGACTGCGTGCAGTCGAAAATGATATGCCTCCGCCATAGAGCAATTTAAACAAGTTTGGAGTTTAAATCTCCAGTGGTTCTTGAGATATCATGATAACAATCTCAATGTATGGAATTTCATAAGTTGACCTCTGTGACCCTTGACCTTTGACCTACGTGCTCCAAAATCTAATCAGATTGTCTTCCTATGGTGATACACACTATCATTAAGTTTGAAGTTTAAATCTCCAGTGGTTCTTGAGATATTATGATAACAATCTCAATGTATGGAATTTCATAAGTTGACCTCTGTGACCCTTGACCTTTGACCTACGTGCTCCAAAATCTAATCAGATCGTCTTCCTATGGTGATACATACTATCCTTAAGTTTGAAGTTTTTACATCTCCAGTGGTTCTTGAGATATCATGATAACAATCTCAATGTATGGAATTTCATAAGTTGACCTCTATGACCATTGACCTTTGACCTACGTGCTCCAAAATGTAATCAGATTGTTTTCCTATAGTGATACACACTATCACTAAGTTTGAAGTTTAAATCTCCAGTGGTTCTTGAGATATCATGATAACAATCTCAATGTATGGAATTTCATAAGTTGACCTCTGTGACCTTTGACCTTTGACATACGTGCTCCAAAATCTAATCAGATCGTCTTCCTATGGTGATACATACTATCCTTAAGGTTCAAGTTCAAATCTCAAATGGTTCTTGAGATATCGCGCTAACAAACTCAACACAAGGAATTTCATAAGTTGACCTCTGTGACCTGTGACCTTTGACCTACGTACTCCAAAATCTAATCAGATCGTCTTCCTATGGTGATAAATACTATTCCCGAGTCTTAAGTTTAAATCTTAAATGGTTCTTGAGATATTGTGATAACGGTCAAACGGGACGGACGTACGGACGGACGGACGGACGGACAACCCGAAAACATGATGCCTCCGGCACCACCTATGGAATTGGTTGATGTGCCTCCTACCAATCGTTCACTTGCAATAAGTCGGTCAATGAAGTTGTATGTGGATATAGTTTCACTCTCTGCTCCTAAATGTAAAGCACAACATATACTCTCATTACCTTTTGAATTCTGTATGGCAATAATTTATCAAACTCTATCAAGTTACAGCATATTTTTTCCATTTCTGACACAAAATAATTTAAGAGCAACACATTTAATTATTCATATAAAAAATCATTTATTCAAAATCACACAATATGCAAGATTAAAAGCACAGGGAGATTACCACGGTAAAAAAGTACTGCGGTACCCATGGTACATTTATTCCTGTAAATTGACGCTTTTCTAAAGATTAGGATAAACATATTTTGCTTTAGCTATAAATTTGTGCATAACAAAAAATGTACAGCAATTATATTTTCACATTATTAAAATGCACCTGTTATGGTTATATAAATTGGAACAATTATTCCAACATTACAATTAGATAGGTTATGTGTGCATGACTTTTATTTCAAGCATTGGAAGTGGAATTTCATCCTCACATCAAGTTGGTTTTCATATAAAGCATATCAGGGAAAGTTCAAGGAAATCTGATAAAGGATACAAAAGTAAGGATGTAATTAATCAATCACAAACTGGTAACTCTACGATTCTCCATTAGGCCTACAAAAAAAGAGGTTGTATGGCCCTTTTTTTCTCCATTTTTGAGCTGTTTTTTTTTTAGTTTTGAATGATTTATACATATTTTTTGTATACATTAAACATTTTTACTCTAAAAAACAATTTAAAAACAAAAACTTTCATTAAAAAGGCGACCGTAGATTTTAAGATTTTTGGGTTGGTCGCAAAGGCAATACAACAACTTTTTAAAGCCTTATGCATCTCTCAATCTATTTTGTACCAAGACTGAAAAGATATCCCTCTTCTTGATTGTAAAAGTAGGGGGGGGGGGGGTGTGGAGGGGGTCCCTCTACGATAAAAGAGGGAACAGGTAAAACATGTCCATTAAATATTCAAGGCACATATTTGTGAGAAAAAAATTAGTTCTAATAGAAATGATGAAATTCATTGAACTTATCATACAAAATAATATGGAGTGCTGCTGGAATTGGAAATATTAAACAGAGCTGAGATTTTCCATTTGATTGATTACAACTATCAGATTTCACCTAAATTCTCACTGATTTGCTGCTCTCATTTTTCTCCTTTTATGATATCTAAATTGATGCTAAGGGACTTCCCCTTGAAACATTTCTCACTCTATTGATGAATCTGCATGTGGTGGAATGTAGCTCATTCTGTGAGTACTACAGTCAAAACCCGTCTACCAAGGTCACCCAAGGTCACCCAAGGTAAACTGAAAACCAGCCACTGTGGCCTCTCTAGACAGGTTCTACAACACACATTTCAAAATTTAGAGCAGTATTTTAGGATCAAATACTACAGAGTAATAATACATTTATATATCACTTTCCACTATGTTTGTGTGTTCATTGAATACTTTTCTCAAATAATAACCTCTCACAAAATGAAAGTCTGAGTTGCAAAATTGACTTTGGCAATTTGTCATTAAAGTCAATTAATCACTATTACAATAACATCATTTTTTAGATTTGGAAAGTTAAATATTAGCTCAATTGGATTTCTATATATTGGTAATCATGTTTGAGATGTACATTGAAATACTAAGGGACTAAGGGACATAAAATACATGTAATTATCACTCATTTAGTGCATACATTCTTTACTAATAAGAAGTTTAATATCCAAGGCAATAAATTCTAAATCTTACGAACAACTATCACAAACCTATTAACAAACATACGTAATTCATGAACTAACAATTATGCACAACTATTGCACTGCTGTAAAAATAGTCATTTGAATATTTTGCATGTCATACAAACTCTACTAACAACTCTTTGAATAGTAAGGTCTGTTGAATTAACGCATTCAGAATTTGTGGCACTTTAAATAAGAAAATTGAATGTCAATTGCAACATATCCAATGGATTTAGGGATAATTATAATAATATTTATAGTAATACTACTACTTATAATAATATTGATTATAATAATAATAATAATAATAATAATAATAAAAATCATTATAAAACTGATATTAGTTACTTTTATAGCACTCATATCCACCACACAAGGTGCTCAAAGAGCTTTAATATTACCCCGGCTATAGCTAGACAGCACATTCAATAATTTTTCCCCCTTCCTATTGGTACCTATTCAACACCTGGGTGAAGAGTGGCAAATTATAGATCAATGACTTGCCCAAGTTCATAAGTGCAAAAGTTTGATCCCATGACCTTTGCATATCCAGTCTATTGTCTGTACCACTTGACTACAACAATATGTAGATTGTGTTTGCCTCTGAAGCCAACATAAAGGGTTGCATTTGCATTTCGCAAGAGAAGCAAGAAAGTCTTGAATCATACACATAATAAGCTTCATACAAAAGGCTGCTAGCTGCTAGAGATTGTTGTTACCTTGGTAATAAACTGTAAATATATGTAGAGCCTTATCTGATATGCAAGAAAAACATTTGACCCATGAATTCATTAAATGGCCAACACCTAATTATTATGTTTTGTATTCAGACTTAAAACATGATTTAATCATGTTTTAGGTGTGTTCTTAATGTGTACCAACCACCAAAAAATATTTTTTTGTGTATAAAAGTTCCATGTGGTTATACTTTATTAAAAATATGAGTTTCAAACTCTTATAAAGAGATACTGCAAGTTTAAATACACTCTAAATTAACACTAAAAGGATTGGCTAACTTTGTCTCAGGTTCTGAATTTAGCTCATGCTGCAATGATAATTATAAACCTTTAGGTCAGTCAGGATCCCCAAGACTTTTACAAGCCGATCGCCTATGGTCTGATTATCAAGATATTTATGATTGGAAATCAAAATCAAATTTTGCGTTTTCCTAACGATTTTCTTTAAACTACAGTCTATTGGGGAAAATGAGTATGGTAAAACCGGTCAATCAAAGATTTTTTTTACTTTTTTGAGGCTCTTCATGATCGTTTTGAAGTGCAATTTTTATAGGGCTTCAATATTACACCATATCAAAGACATTGATAACACGTAGGGCCATGCATCTCAGATTTAACATTGTTAAACGATGCCTTTAAAGCTACTTGTGGGTAGACTATTTGATGTACCCGTACATGCTCACACGGTACAGGGCCCGCACAATACCCACGTCTGACTTGGGTTATGTACGCAGGATTTTATGCTCTTTTTAATTTTCTTCATACTCATTAACCATTAACTGAGAGAATGCCAAGAGATTTTTTGAGGTAGATTATACATGTGGGATATTTTTCTCTCCCTGCAACCTCGTAAGACATATAAATGTCCATAGAATAGAATTTATTTCTACATTAACAAAAATATTTTTTCTTCTCTTGGTAGGATTTCAGTCAGCTCATAAATATTCCTTTAAAAAAACAGAGAAAATGTAACATGTGACAAAAACAGAACATTTTGCCTACAATGGCTACGAGAGAAATTCAGGGACATCTCTCTTGTACCACTTAATAATACCAGCTTTGTCCAATTTCTTCATGATCTCAATCTCTCTTGCAAAATCATGACTTCCTTTCACATTCTTGTAGATACTGAAGGTTTTATCATAGTAGTGTTCTGTGTACTTCTCGGTGAATCCCATGCCATAAACACTGAGAGAATCACATCCAGAATGGAGAGCCGTCATTAACATCATGGCACCCGTACTCGGACGGAAAGACTTGGTCCGCATCCAGCTGAAATCATCAAATGAAGGGGGAAAATGTATAGGTGATATATATGTACAGTGGTATGGGAGGGGGGGGGGGGGGTGGCATGGGTCTTGCTTGAATGAAGAAATGCGGGAAAAGAGGGCCATTGAATGAAGGGGATGTATAGAACAGTGGTCTTGTAACTGGAAGGTCCTGGATTTAAAACCACATCGATGCAGTAGTGCCCTTTGGTAAGGAATTAAATCCTCATTCTTAAGTCTATCGGAGAGGATTTAAAGCTGTCAGTCCTCTGGTTGCTTAATTACAAGCATACACATCCTTTCTTATAGGTATAGACCAGTTCTGGTCATGCGATTGCATTGTGAAAGATATGTAGTGGAATTGGTCAGAAAAGGTTAATCATCTAGCATTTAAGTATTGGTGTGTACTGCAAGGTTCTGGAATCATCAAAATGATAAGAAATTTGGCCCAGTCTTGGTAAAGTTACAAGCACAGAAAGATGTATATGGGACTACCTGATATCTATCTAGTCCGGATAGATATGATAATCTATTAAATATATCAATTAGTAGGCGGTTTCCAGGCAAAATTACTATCATCACATATTTAATAGTCAAAACATATTCTTTCACATATTTGTAATAAGAGCTTCCATTTCATTTTTTGAGAGGGAGGCATTTCCAAAACTGGTCTATACCTTTAACAGTCAAAATAAAAAAAAAAAACATCAAAAAATTGATACAGAGAGAAGAATACATAACTCCAAATAGCCTAGAATCGGTTGGTTTAGCAGTATGACTGACAGAGAAGAGATTAAGTATTATTGACTAAAGGGCTAAAAGAGAACTCACGCTTTGTGGAAATATCTGACAAAGTCTGGGTGCAGTAGTCTGATGTCTGCAGCTTGAGCTTTCAGCTTCTGTTTAGGATTAGTTCCCTTGGCGACCTCTGTGATGTAGTGATAGTCATTTATTCTACAAGGCAGGAAGACCCACTTGATACCCTGTGAGAACAAAGCAATGGTGACATGTACTGAAATGAAATATACTACACACAAAACAAACAAAGAACGTATGCATTGCCTACAAAAAAAGTTTACTCAGACAAATGAGTGCAATACACAAAAACCTTTAGTATGATCACATTGAAATATAATAACAAAAAAAGCAAACAAAGAAAACAAACAAAGAAAACACACACAAGGCCTACATGCTTTACTCAGACAAGTGCAAAGTGAATAGCTACAGTCTATCTCTATTCACTGACATTCTTTGACAAGTTGAAAGTTAACAAATTAAGTTCAAATTTATGGCAGAAAATACTAGAGTTATTCATAAAGATCAATCAAAGATGCAACTTTTTTCAGGCATAGAACAGGCGTGTTATCATCTGATGATCCAACATTTACTCCAGCTACGATTGTTCCAGACTTTATTTCATCAAAGATGTGTTACATAGGCCTAATGTTACATGAAAGGTTGCAATTGGGTATTTGGTTAGGGTGAGGGTCATAGACCTGCCAACCTCTGGAGTTCAAAAACTGTATTCTTTAATCCCAAAAGTTCTATTTTTCTGACAAAAGTTGTATTCTTAAAATTAAACACGGACTGTTACGCGCCTCTTACAGTTCCTACATACAGGAAGAAATTTTGTTATTGATCATTGGTTGAATATGCATGATTTCGTCACGACTGGTGTGTTTGATGAACCAATGAACATCCCCAAATTGCCAATGTGAGATGGTTGAAGGATACTTTACAGGACAGAACACCGGTAGGCATTTTGCCATTGGCACACATACATTTTTTTTTTTTTTTTTTTGAAAATCATATTTTATTGAGGAAAATAGTACTGTCGTATTTGCTTCTAAAAATCGTACGAAATACGACTAAATCATTCTGGTTGGCAGGTCTGGGTTAGGGTTACGACTGGGAATATTTAAAGGGCAAGGTCCAGGTTTGAAGGAGGGCATCTGTTTAGAGTAGGACATTATATGCCAGAGCGTTGTTCAACCAATTCCATACCTTGTCTGTTGGTATATCAGCCTGTTGCGTATGGATGAGGGATCTGTCCATGAATACATAGTGCGTTGTCCGAGTACCAACATCATGCTCAAAGCCTCTCCTGATACAATGGTTAACTCTGCAGAAGAAAAAATGGTGTAATTTCACATTTAGTTCTTGATTTCATTCAAAGGTAACTTAGTTAAAGAATATGCTAGTATTTGGATACACTTCATAGGGTAACACACAACCAGTATAGGGACTGTTTTAGAATGCCTCTGCATTTTGGGGGAAATCAAACTTTAGTGTTGAATTTTCCACTTTTATCCATCATCCATTAAAGGGATAGTTGAGTTCTGTTTTCATACCGCAAATGCCTTCAAAGTGCATGGTTATTGCTCTTATTCTTATCTATGACATTTATAGGGCCCTTTTAGAACCTAAAATTGCTATGACGGTAGTTTTAGACCCCAAAATGTGTGAAATTTAGCCAATACGATCATACCAATTCAGTTCCACTTTCAAAAAAACATGCTGACCGTTAAATTATTATTTAATTAAAAATAAGAATACATGAGCCGGCTAATTGTGGGAAATATAGGCAACACGAAAATGCTAACAAAAAATCCAACATCGGTATTGGCTGAAATACGACGTAAAAGGCATTATTTCGTTTTTTTCAATGGTTTTCTCAAATTTTTCAAAATATCTAATATTTGTAGTGGTACACAAGTATTAGAAATCGTTATATTTCAGCCGTCTCTGAACTGATTTTGATCAAACAAAGATGATTTTGTCATTTAAATATTATGTTCTTTCAAATTTGACACTCAGTTTTTCATTATCTCACAAAAAAAAAAAAATTTTGTAGCGCCCTCTGCAACAGAACTCAACTATCACTTTAATATCTTGTGTTACTACTGATTTGGCTTAAATCAAGCACATCATAGACAAAAATAATTGAGTCAAAAATACTATTTTTTGCTATTTAATACAAAAGAATATCTTTGTTGGGTAATACCAGAGGGTTTGTATTCTAATAAAATAAAGGGGGGGGGGGAAAAACTACACCTACATGAGTGATTATATAAGGCTTCAGATACATTTGATGATAAGAAATTAAGATAGTAATACTTCATCAAAGGCATTTCATACATTATAAACATTTTAATAGTTTCTTTTCTAAATCATAATACCTGTGAATATTGGAGAACGAAGTCTTAAACGACAACATATTACATAAGGACTCCTCAACCCTCTCTCTCTCTCTCTCTCACATGGTGCACCCGCAAGACTACTGTATAGCATATCACATGTATTTCCAGCAGCAATAAAGGTCATAGATAACTCCTCTTGCACAGACTAATTTCATGAACTAAATGTACTTCATTGCAATACAAAACATTAAAATCCAGACACTGTTATGATTTTTACCTGAACACCATGCCATGGTTGTCTATTTCTCTGCCTAGGCCAGATCCATTCAGGATTCCTCCATTTCCTACGATAGCACAGCTTACGCATGGAGGTCTCTGATGATTCCCGAAATCTAGAACGGATTCGTCCTCCGAAAATAGTTTTAATGTACTGGAGAGCTCTGAAGATAACGACAAAGTCAAAAGCATTGTCAAGACAATTTGGTTATTTGAGCATTATCCATGTTCAATTCAAGTGCAGACATAAAAGCCATTACAAAGCTAGAATAAGAGAATTTAGCTGAATTCAATGTACAAGTCAGAAGTATTTCAATATTTCCTGTCCCAGGTAATGAGAATAAAGAAAAATAATAAAATATTTACATTAACAAGTTCTATTTTCCTTGTCATTTGGTCCGATATTAGATATATAGTACAAGAAGAGGTATCAACTTTATAGTTTCATCTGATATACTACACACTTTGATGGTGTTGGTAGGAATGTATGAGACAAAAATACCTTCGACTAATGAAACTTTACATGGGCAAAGTGGTAATAAATAAATAACAGGAAGAAAGAAAAAAAGCTAAACAAACATTTAAATTCAGTTTCCAGTACAAATTGGCCAATTTTTTTGAATTTTTGTTACAGAAAATTTTCTCTATATATATTCAAACCACTACACGTTTCGTTCTCCATTTGGCCACAGCACTCTCACCTTCAAACTTGAGCTCATTTTTATAAAAGAATCCAAATGGCATATTGTATGTTTTTAAGCGTTGGTATTCTTCCTGGTTGATATTGGCATCTGTCATAATCATCTTTATGTTTGGTTGATAGTACTGGGAAGCCCATTGGGACTCCTGTAGTTTGCCTTGTAACGAATACGGACAAGACTGTTTGAAGAAACAGAAGTACATATGAAATATTAAATGAGCTTATTCATGCAATCATGATGAAAAATAATGTTGAAACTTGATACTTCCAAGTTCCAGCACATAATTAACTCTCCCCATGCAATATGCACAACCTTATGACCTGATACGACCTTTGTTCCAGCGACAATTGCTCTGGGCTTTATTTGGTGAAAGGTATAGGGTTGGAGTAAGGGATGCTGTTGAATGATCAAAGGAATGGAGTTTATTGTAGACACTCTTCTTGTATAAGTGGCCATCTTAAAAGTGATTTATTCAGGAACCCCTCCGCCAATCGCAGCCTTTTTACACGCATCAGTACACCATTCATGCCATTAATATAGTACCACAACATCTCACTACTACTAATGCTTGCATTAACTACATGTACCCTTCCTGTTAGCCACTAAACATATTGGAAATGCTACCACTAAAACATTGACTCAATGCTTAAAATGTTCAACAAGACAGAAGAAGAATTTCTTCGAAGAAATTGTTCAAAAGATATAATACTTAAAGGTAATACAAAGTTTTGGTATGGGGTCATGAATTTGGTTCAAATGAACATATTGGAAGCATATGCGATCCTACAATATTCAGTAATCGTTGTCGCAGTTGAAATCGAGTCTAAAATTATGAGATTATAACTAATAAGCTCTTTATGTTGTATAGCTCCCTCTCCAGGTCAAGATATTAATTAAGCTATAAAATATTGTTTCTTGCCTAAAATCTACCAATTAGCTATTCCCGTTTGGAAAGTATATATCTCAACTACATATTCTGAGATTTTCACGGTCGCAGCTACCATTGTACGGCCGTAGGCGCTATTTCAAATTTATCAAAATTTACCGGGAGCACCGGTAAATTTTTATATTCCATTTTTCTCAAAATCAGAAGTGTTTTAGGGACTAAATTTTCTAGTGCTTATTATACATCCACAGGGGCATCCAAATACATCAAAATTGTAAAGAATCACTATCCACCCAATTTTCAAAATTTCCCAAAACTTTGTATTACCTTTAACTTCCACTAGATGTAGTATGTGTTGCTGAGTGCATATTTAATGTAAATATAACCTTTGACCATTTACACAACTGTTCAGTTCTAAAGTACTTGAGTCAACATTACTGACTTAACCTTAATTGTGGCTTTTTCAAACTTTACACATTTTTTATCTACCGGTAAATAAAAAGTGTTTAAATCTTAATCTTCATTGAAATCATTGTTCATCTGTTTTCATGTGTCAAAGAAATGAAATCTGAGCAATGTACATACATGTATCTGAGACTAATGCAATATTTCTATCATACCCTGTCATTTATTTGAAGAAGGAAAACACTCTTTATACATGTACATGTGTATTACACAACAAAATCCTGTCATTTTCAGAGTTATGGACAGTTAAACCAATCTTTGGCATGGCAGCGGTAACTAGAGTTGTAATTTGGTTATTGAATCAATGTATGACCTATATATGAGAGCTACGTGTATTTTATCTTGAATATGTAACCATCAAGAGCTTCCACTGAGATCATTAACCCATTCGAGAAAATTTGTTATTATACAAATAATACACAGCAGACAGCAGTGAGGGCATTAGTATTAGAATTACCCGCACAAGGTACGTTTGGACTGTTTTGAAGGTACCGAGTATGGGTACTTTTACTAATGCCCGAACAAAATTATGTGTATTATTTGTTTTATAAGATTATGTTTTATTTGTTTTATCAAAATTGTTTTATAACATGATTTTGATAATGACCAGTCATTATCCAAATTAGGCGTTAGACAAAATAAATGCCTGGTCACGTGTACGCTTTCAACCAATCATTTGATAAGGATCCACGTCATCATCTTATAACATTCATTATCCCACCGCTGCCACCATGTTAAATGGATGGACAGATAAGAGTTCATTATAGACACAGGGGAGTGTTTCACAAAGATTCTTAGTCGAACTTAACTCTAAGTTGAACTCAAAAGTTATGGAGAGCCATTTGTAGCCTTAAAATTAAATATATTCAAAAGCGAAAAATCAAGTATTTTAGACTTTCCATAAATTCCACATCAAGAACATGAAATCTCCCATGATAATAGAAAATACGAATGATTTGAATCAACATTTTATGCCTTTTAAAATAAATTTTACAAAATATTTTCAAGGATGCTAATGGCTTTCCATAACTTTTAAGTCCAACTAAGAGATAAGTTCGACTTAGGATCTTTGTGAAACACCTCCCTGGTCATGTAGAAGTGGCCATCTTGCAAGTGCCTTATTCTACCTCCACCAATCACAGCCTTGTGACATACATCAATGCACCATTCATGATTGAACAAAAACAAGTGTGATTGAGTTTCCGGTTGGGTTCGGGCCAAGGTTGAAGGACAGGCACAGTGTTGAGTTGATGGTTTATTCTGTTACGTATGAAACTAACCTCTGAGCAGTTGCTGCATACGTTTGGTCGTACAACCTCTAATGTGGTACACTGTAGTTTTGCTTATTCTTCAGTAAGCGTTTATCATTCAGTCATGCAACAATGTACAGGTAGCCCAAATTAAAATCTCAAGAACAAAATTGTTTATTCCCATATACCAGTACATAGCTTAACATAAATTCCCCCTAAACATTACACGAGGGCGTTTCTTTTCCTATCACCTACAGTAGATAAGCACCAGTTACCACTGGGGCTACTATTACCTGAATGTTGCATAAAATAGGACCTTTTTTCGGGCAAGTACATGTATGGTAGTTTTCTGGTAGTATGAGTAATCTTTTGGCAGAGCGGTTATCAACCTGGTGTACATGAAGCAGAGTCCCTTCATAGACAGAATCCTGACACTGACATCCCATTGTGAAGGCAGATCAATATACATGTACTATACACAGTTGCTACTGACACTCAAACATAAATGTTGTGCAAAAGTGGAAAAAAATGGTGTTCAAATCATGGGTTTTTCGTAACTCTTCTATGAAGGACTCTAATACAGGGTAATAGTGTATGACAAGACTTGGGTGTTGACTTTCGATTGCTATCAATATTTTGTTGTTTTTTTGGAAATTATAAAAAATAATTAAAAAAAGGTATAATGAGGTTGATCCTTTAATACCAATTTTTTTAAATCTCAGACTACTAAGGGAAATTCATTCACTTATCATCATAGCAAATTAGTAATATAAAGAACAAAGAAGAATACCATTACTGACTAATGAGAAATGTCAAAACAAACATGTACTTACAGAAAATTTAAACTGTTCATCTTTCCTGAAAGTCAGTTCTAAATTATTTGGAGCAATTGTGATGAATGGATGAGGATGATTCAGTCTTGTTTTCTGCTCCTGAACCTCAAAAGGATGATTAAATTGATGCTCTTTTCCCAGGAATGAAAGCTCATGTTCTAAGTCAACTTGGTGTGATTCAGCGAATTCATCACTGGCAAATCTGCAAAATTAAACCAAAAGAATGATTAGGTCCACAAAAGAAACCATGGAACTATTCACAAAAAGAAAAATTAAGAAGAAAAAAGAAAGGAAGAAAAAAGAAAGGAAAACAAAAACATGAACTCTCCAATCCTCTAGTTGAACATCTTGTAGTTGGCAAATTTCACAAAAACATCTAAAATCTTCATTAGATCATTGAATCATGGAGAGATCCCACTAAGTGCATAATCACTCTCAAAGTGAGGTTCTTCATGGAGGATCTAGGGGCAACTTATGCTTGGCCCAAAATCAAGGCAAAGTTAGCCAGGAGAGCTCCAATTGATAGCACAGACTAAAATTAGTTTTGCACTACATGTATGTGTGTCTTAGACATTATTTTTCAACTTTATTTGATAACAATTTAATGAAAATATTTAAGTACTTTACCCACACAAAATTTAGAGATGTGAATTTTACGAAACTTTTAGGCCTTTTAAGGGCTACTTTGAGGTCTAGTCTGTAGCAACTTGCACTTTTGAAACCTAATAACCCCTGAAATGCCAAGTTCACCCTCCTCCCGATTCATCCAGACTCCTTTCCTTTCACCTCTACTGAAGAATAATCTCACCTCCTGGTTTTCATGAAATGCATTGACTGTGTATATAAGAATGTGGATTACATAACTTTCGTGGATATATTAACATCCACTAATTGTATCAGTAATTTTTACAATTGCAAACAAGTGACATGACTTTTGGTACTTTGTGCCTCCAAGAGCAGGGTCTGCCGAAAGCCAGACGGGCCTTAACACAAATATATCTTAGAATAGAGTTAACATCCTTCTGGCTTTTCGAAAACACTGATTGGCAAGATAAAACAATAAAACTGACCGTAATGTATAAAAGTTTATCTCCTTAACTCTATAACTGGATGAATCTCAATATTAGAAACAGTGCTAATTCTATGAGAAACTAGATGAAACTTCGACTGCACGCAGTCGAAAAAGATGCCTCCGCCAACTACGATTTCACATACCAAAACAGAAGCAAATTTTCAAATTCAAGTTTAATAGTAATCCATTAAAAAGAGGTTCTCAGAATATCATGATTACAAGCTATTTTTTATATACATGTATGACCCTTTAATCTTTGACCTCATGACCCCCAAATCTAATCAGTTCATTAGCTCAGCAAGATACATACATGTCCTGTGTCTGATGGTAATCTGTCCATCGGTTTTAATGATGTAATCACCAGCTATTTATGCATACATAATGAGCCCTGTGACCTTTGACCTTTGCCCTCATGACCCCAAAATCTAACCAATTCATTGGCTCTGCAAGCTACATATATGACCTAAGTTTGACAGGAATCCATCAATAAGTTCTTAAGCTAACGCGATCACAAGCTATTTTTGCATGCATGATGAGCACTGTGACCTTTGACCTCGTGACCTCAAAATCTAATCAATTCATTGGCTCTGCAAGATACATACATGACCTAAGTTTGGCAGGAATCCATCAATTGGTTCTTGAGATAACGCGATCACAAGAACGGGACGTACGGATGGACGTATGGACGGACGGACGGACGGACAACCAGAAAACATAATGCCTCTGGCTACTTCGTAACTCAGGCATAAAAATGAATTTAAAGGGGGAAAATGTTGTTCACCCACCTGTCTCTTCTGTATGCTTCGTTATCTGTATTCTGAACCATGTATACCAGAGTACCCACTGTAGCCCCAACTAGGATGGAGACCAGTTTAACAAACGCTTTGTTGTGGAAACGCATCGCATCAGCCCATCAGATTCCAGATTGAATAAAACGTCTACAGAGAAAAATAAAAAGAAGCAAACATAAGGCCACAACAAAAATTGAATTTTTTTTTTTAAATGAGGAGGGGTTCCATGTGGCATGTTATTTTATAATTGTTATTTTGATAAGATAGTCGCCGCACATACAAATGTTATGATGCCGGGCTCCCTGTGCTTATATTATGGGAATCCTTCTACACAACCAAATTTAAGCAACTTAAGATTTTACAGGTCTGCACTCTGCAGTAAAAGGTTTGGGATTAAAAAATATGTATAAAAAACATACGAGTCCCCCCTCCGAAATTAATACGAGACGGCAATTAACCCGTTGATATTATCTACCTCTCATTTCCCTCCTCTTCAAGACCACACTGCCACTTTCAGACAGTTACCTAGAGATGTTAAATTAATATTCGCTGTTAAAGTTTATCAATAAATCAAAAGAATCCGACTAAAAAACACTATAAAACTGTCTATATATTCCTCGTGGTGTAAGTCCCCCTTACGTGTTAAAATCATCAAATTTCCCATAGAAGGGGACTTACACCACGACTAATATACTCCTCGTGATCCGAGTCCCCCTCTATGAGAAATGTGATGATCTTAACACGTAAGGGGGACTTACACCACGAGGAATAGTCTATATAGATCTAGATCTAGACAGTTTTATAGTGTTTTGAGTCATTTTATTTGTCATATTGAATGATAGAAAAGAGACTAAGAATACAGAATTTTATGTCGTTTGAAATAGTGTCCTAGCCAGTATTTTTTGCATCAATTCAAATAGGCCTATGTGTGGTGGAAAGAAATCCCCCACGTAGGAATGTTCTGTGTGAACTTCGCACCTTTTCGCATCGTGGACAATTACAATAGATCTAGATCTAGATTTCTTTTGACAACCTCCCAACCGTGAATCCTTTAGAAAGATTGCTGGAAAAAAAGGTAGGCCTACGGTCAAGTTTGTCCCCAGTGACTCGGATGACGATATAGCCAGCTATAGGCCTAGCTAGACTAGATCTATGTTGATTTGTTGATGAAGGATAGATCTCGGAATACAAACTTGTTTAAAAACACATCGATTTTTTTTTTGTAGACCCAACCATTTCCCCTAACACAAAACGAAGTATTCGGGACTGACGTCGGATTCTGACCTTCAAGTTTCAACAGAGTTCAAGTCCAATTCAGTAATAGCACGTTCAAACTCAGATATCAACTGATACAAGCATGATGGATGCGATCCACGACTGGGAGGGGCGGAATGTCGATCGAGCTTACATTCGAATTTCGGCACTACAGCTGTATTTGCCGACTTGGTGCTTCCTTGACTCCTATTAGCATTGACTCTCTTAGTAGACCGAATTGTCCGTCTCTTTCGTTCTTTAGCGCTAGCGCGCGTAGCCTCTTAACTCATTCGCGACAATGGTTCTCAAAATATGATCGCGCAGCTAGCTGACACTCTTCAAAGAGGCAATCCAGCTGTTAAGGCCAGGAATACACCATTCACTGGCGGGGAAATGCATTTGTATGAGGGACAATTTTTTTGCTAAATGTTTGTGATTTACATCAAATAAATGGAAATTAAATCTTTATCAACCATTCTTCACTTATCTGTGGCTGTCTCAAAGTGTGATAATGCTTATATTTAGTCAGAAATATCCCCTTTATACAGGCGCGGATCCAGGATTTTCCAATAGGGGGGGGGGGGGGGCGGAAATTTGAAAATTGCGCAGACCATTTTTTCAAGGTCATTTTAGAAGCACCATACCGGTACAATTTTTGACATTTTTATCCTGGGGGGCGGGGGGGGGGGGGGGGGGTTATAGTCTCTTGCCCGAAAAAGTAATTTTCTGGTTTCACAATTCGGCTAGTGAGCGAAGCGAGCGAGCAACAATTTGAGCGTAATATGTATTTTGTGAAAGTGTTATTTATCACCAAAATAAACGAGAAAAGATATAAAAAAAAACTCATATTCGGGCAGCTCGCTGTCCCCCCCCCCCCCCCCCCCCCCCATTACGCGCGAAGCACATGCATTTTCAGAATTGTATTGTAAGAAAGAGAGAGAGAGAGAGAGAGAGAAAGAGAAAGATAGAGAGAAATAGAGTGAGAGAGAAAGAATGAGAGATCATGGTCAAGGATTTAAATTCAATTTTCTTTAAAATTGTAAACCTGGTGTTAATGAAACTATCTGATATGTCATTACCACGTAGTGCCACGTACAAAAATTAACCACGACTATGATGTTTATTGCTGTGAAAAAAAACTATTGACTTTTCACCCAGTAAATTATTATCATGTTTTCGATCTTGTTATTGAAAAAGTCAGAATTTTCTTTTGTCCTCGAACCAGCGGGGTCTACTGGGTGTAAACAGAAATTTCTAAACATCAATTGAAACTTATTCCAGGAAGACTAACAATTAAAGCTGTTGTTTATTCAAATAGCCTTGTAGAGGCGATGAACAGATATGAGTAATAATACAGGGCCCTGGGAACGATTTTTTTTTCACCGGGGCCGCTGAGATATATATACTGCGAAATTATTTTCGCAAAGCACCCCCAGCACCCCCGCTTCCCAGGTCCATGTATAATAATACACAGCAGTTGGCACTGCGGACAGTGAAAACAACAATGTGAAATCAACAGTGAAAACAACAAAGTGAAATCAACTGTGAAATCAACTACATGTTTCAAAAGTCCCTAAAGAGTAAATTGCTATTCCATATCCTATAGCATTACATAATATTAATAATAATACTACTTGATATTTATATAGCGCACATATCCACCATACAAGTTGCTCACGGCGCTTCGGTGTTTCACCGGTGTCAGGGGCCAGAGTGACCGGGTGACGTTCTGTGTCCTAAGACACAGAACGCCGAAAATTGGTTGGCGATACACGTCCGTCTTCTGCGATATGTGTCTTGGGTCGGACGCATATCGCCGTGTATATCACGGCGAAATCAGTCCACTGGCGAAATGCGTTCTACAACTTAAAAATCGACTTAAAGTGTGCATATCTCCAGTCTCTCTCTCACACAAACCCTGGTCTTCCTCCAGTTTCATCTATCATTTCATTCATCCCTCTCGGGCTCTCCCTTCTCTATGTTTATGTCAGTATACCATTACTTTTCTCTCTTTCTTTTTATCTTCTCTCTCTCTCTCTCTCTCTCGTTCTCACTGCCGACTCTATTTTGTTCACCTTTTATCTTTCCTCTCGTATCAGTGCTCACATCTGTTTACCCCCACCACTTTTGTTTTCCTTGTTCCACTCTCTATTTACCGCCTCCCCCTCCCCCTCTCTCTTTCTCTCTCTCTCTCTCTTTCTCTCCCTTTACATGTATATTAATAATTATCTAGCGTGCATAATTTTCGGTTTTCTTAATGTTCCAGGATGCACGAATTCATTATTTGTTCTATAATTTTATATAGGATTTCCCGGCCAAATTCGCGAGTTTGTCATTCAAATTCATTTGTCTTGCGTTCAAATTCGACGGTTTTAGTGCTGTCGGGTATATCTCGGGTTTATATTCCTTTTTCTAGATTTAAAATCTATGAAGTTTTCGTTAGAATCTATGTATGTTTCATTCCAATTAATGAACAAATTGCTTATTTCGCTATTTGGTCATTCGATTTAGCGCAACACGATTTTCTGACATCGCGACGGTGTACTTTTAGCATTCTAATTCATTTGTAGCATTCAAACTAGCACTTTGTGCACTAATATAGGATTTCCCGGCCAAATTCGCGTGTTTGTCATTCGAATTCATTTACTTTGCATTTACGTTAGCGCAGATCGGCTTTGCCATGCCAATTATCATTCAATTTTCCAGTTTTTGTATTTAATTTAGGATTTTGGTCGAAGGGTTTCATAGATCTGTCATTCAATTTAGAAACTGCTCAACTAGCATTCAAATTAATATTCACTTGTCGAAGCGTAATTTTTATCATTCAAATTAACACCTGTCATTCGTATTCGTAATATCTTTATTCAAGTTAGGAATGTTAGGGGGAAGGATTGCAACAAACTTTTACAGTTTTTAAACAATGCAGTTAAAATGCATGATTTGCCGTTTTAGCTTCATTTTTGCTGAGCTTCGAGTATGTTGAAGCTGAGACAATAAGCTATTACAAATGTGCCCTTTAAATTTTAATTGAAACAGCCCACCTATACTTGTTCAAAACAAGTATTACAAATCTAGTTATACAAATCAATCTGTCATCAACTCATCGTCATTTCAATCGGTAAAGACAGCGTGTTACTAATAGAACTTTGGAGTTGACGTAAAGGTTGGAATCTCAGTTTATTTAGTTTGTTTTCCTTTATAAATAGTGAAGCTTTACCGGACATTTTGGTAACACGCATGCGGTCATTCCGACCCCGGAGAGGGCGGGGGGGGGGGGGCGCGGGGGAGAGGATATGAAGCAGGAAAAACAGGGAAATCCATAAAGAAAGAGAAGAGGATAGATCAAAGGAAAAACAAAGAAATATACGACGATAGAAAATAGGATATATTTAAGCTAGCTGGCTGGCTCTCCAATCAATTAGGGCTTCTACAATCTTAATCAGGGGCGGCGATTTCTTTTCATGACCAGGGGGGGGGGGACGAAATGCGAGGGACGAGGGAACATAGTGAGCAAGAGGGGCCAGTGGCGTAATGAGCAGAAACGTTTGGGTGTGTGTGTGTGTGGGGGGGGGGGCTCAAGTATTTACGATCAGGTAGAGCAAAGCGAGCGAAGCAAAAAGCTTAAATTGGCGTGGGGTCCAGGGGCAAAGCCCCGGCGGGAGTCATGGGCGGAGCCCCATGAAACTCAAGAGTTCTTTAGGCATTTAATTACGGTCAGATGAGCATTTTGATAAGGTTTATTTGTGATACTGGCAGGTCACTAATTTGGAGTGAGGCCTAGGGGGCGGCGCCCCCAGAATCTCAGGGTTTTAAGGCATGAAATTACGATCAGACGGATGAGCATCTAGGGGCCGCCTTAGGGCCCTCGGAAGGGTCCAGGGGGTAGAGCCCCGGGATTCCAGGGGAATATGATGCCATTTTAGCAGCATTTGTAAATTGCTGGTATCAAATTAGAAATAAACCATGTTTGATTTTATTGGGGGGGGGGGGGTTACTGGTCCCCCCCCCCCCCCATCAGTAAGCCAGTGAACGGGGAGGAGGTGACGGAAGTGACTACCTCCATAGAGCTATATGATAAGTCTTATTATATAGCTCTATGCTATCCCCTCACAGGTTTGTTGTATTACAAAATCACATTCTTTAGCAAAACTATAGTTTAGAAATTACAAGCAATCTACTTTTTTTCACACTTCAATTTTACTTTGTCGGTATCTAGTGTGCATTACGAAGGGTTGTAAATATATATTAGGTTAATGTTAGTAAGTAGGCAGGAAGGGACTTTTTAAAAGAGCAAGCTTAATATACATTTTTGTACCACAGATCTTATTCTATAACTCCTAAGGGGCGAAACAAGGGATATGGCATCTCTGAACGGACATGTTCATATACCCCGGAAAAGTAGGGACACGAAAACACCTACCCCAGTCACAATATTGTACCCTTCCTCCATAATGAAATTGTGATAGATTTATGATGAAACACAAGACAAACAACTTCCTTACATGAAAATTTACACAAATATTGAGACCATCAAGTCCGTAAATGTACAGTAAGTCTTTTTTTAACAATCAAACTTAAAGGCTGATGAATATCTGATAAATCTAAAAGTATATAAAGAGAATGCAAGAAAATAAAATAGGATGAAATACACATGAAAAAACGATCTTGAAAGAAAAAGAATGAGCTATAAAAATTGTTTAAACAACGAGAAATGTATATTGACCATTAATTTTAGTGCACAAAGTGCTAATTTGAATGCTACAAATGAATTAGAATGCTAAAAGTAGGCCTACACCGTCGCGATGTCAGAAAATCGTGATGCGCTAAATCGAATGACCAAATAGCGAAAGAAGAAATTTGTTCATTAATTGGAATGAAACATACATAGATTCTAACGGAAACTTCATAGATTTGAAATCTAGAAAAAGGAATAAAAACCCGAGATATACCCGACAGCACTAAAACCGTCGAATTTGAACGCAAGACAAATGAATTTGAATGACAAACTCGCGAATTTGGCCGGGAAATCCTATAGTACCCAATTTTTCACATATCGGTCCCTTTCTGAATTGCCCACACCCTCACCCCCCCCCCAAAGAAAAAATATTTTCACATTGTTACATGTATGCACAATATATATTGATGTGTCAACCTTCATAATGATTATTGACCTCCTTTAAATTTATATATGGAAGACTTTAGAAGACAATTGTTACAGTTCAACTATAGGACATTAAAGCATCTTCTAAACTGTCCTGACTAAAATGTAAAACGTTGTTCACATTTTGTATTCTTTGTTGAAAAACTTGCTTGCTGGCAA